ACTGTGAGGCGGACGTGCTAACCAGTCCACAGCGTGCTGCCTCCCTATAACTTCATTAATTAAATGTATTGCACCATGCAATGCAATGTGGAAACCAGAGGTATGCAAACTAGTGTGACATGACACCTCTGTAAGGAGACTCATTCAGCAACAAGTGTTGCCACGTTCTTTGTTCGTGGACAGGGCCGCAGAGCCACTCATCCCAAAATACAGAATAGGTCTTGAGGACACATTGCGAAAATGAGGTGAATCTAACCAATCTGAGGGAACATTCTGACGTGTCTCTGACATTTAAAATTTACGCCAACTTCCCTGAACTTCAAGCTGGGCGGCCTATACTTTTAGCTCATCGGTAGCGCTCTGTGCCCCCAAACCAGACACACAAGTTTGACCCCCAGAGTGGGTGGACAGCGCAGGAGTAAAAAGTAAAAATGTCCCTGCATATGGAAAGATTGAAACCACAGTTGAATTCAACAGAAACTGAAGAACAAGATGATAAACCTGTGTTGCCAAAACTGGATAATGATAGTTATTCCTAAATTGTTACTTGCAGCTGTGCTTGCTGTATTCACTGTAATCCTTTTCACTGTATTCCTTGAGGAAAACGTTGTCCAACCACATATTTTAATTGGGACTTTTTCCTGCCACTGGAAATTTGTTTCATTGTATTTATTCTTGTACTGTATGTATTTTTCAATTAATTTCATTATGTGTTCTATCCAAAAGAGATGTATTTTTATGGACAACTGGGAAAACAAGATGATAGAAAATTGCCATTAATTTCATGCAATTTAAGGGAATTTTTTTGAGCAATAAATTTACAGTTGGGCGGCCCGGTAGTCCAGTGGTTAGCGCGTCGACTTCACAGTGCAGAGGGACCGGGTTCAATTCCAGCTCCGGCCTCCCTGTGCGGAGTTTGCATGTTCTCCCCGGGCCTGCGTGGGTTTTCTCCGGTTACCTCCCACATTCCAAAAACATGCATGGCAGGCTGGTTGAATACTCAAAATTGTCCCTAGGTGTGAATGTGAGCGTGGTTGGTTGTTCGTCTCTGTGTGCCCTGCGATTGGCTGGCAACTGGTTCAGGGGGTCCCCCGCCTACTGCCCGAAGACAGCTGGGATAGGCTCCAGCACCCCCCGCGACCCTATTGAGGATCAAGCGGTTCGGAAGATGAATGAATGAATGAATGAATATTTACAGTTGGGCGGCCCGGTGGTCCAGTGGTTAGAACGTCGACCTCACAGTGCAGAGGTACCGGGTTGAATTCCATCTCGTGCCTCCCTGTGTGGAGTTTGCATGTTCTCCCCGGGCCTGCGTGGGTTTTCTCCGGTTACCTCCCACATTCCAAAAACATGCATGGCAGGCTGATTGAATACTCAAAATTGTCCCTAGGTGTGTGTGGTCGCGTGGATGGTTGTTCATCTCTGTGTGCCCTGCGATTGGCTGGCAACTGGTTCAGGGTGTCCCCCGCCTACTGCCCGAAGACAGCTGGTATAGGCTCCAGCACCCCCGGCCTCCTTGTGAGGATAAGCGCATCGGAGAATGGATGGATGGATATATTTACAGTTGACTCCCGTGCAATTCGCAGCGAATAAGGACCAGGCCGACCCCTGAATAGCAAAAATCTGCATATACCATGATCCCTCGCTACTTTGTGGTTCACTTATTGTGGATTCAGTGCATCGCGGATTTTTCAAAAGTATTCATTTTATATATATATATATACATATATATATATATATATATATATATATATATGTGTGTGTGTGTGTGTGTGTGTGTGTGTGTACCAGATATATGGAGAGGGTTGTGGTAATGGACTTCCAGGCGAAGGAACCTTGAGGAACCTGGCCCACCAATAGGGAGGCCTGCATCAGGAGGGTAGTAAAAATAAATTTTTTCTCGCGAGATTAATGCGGCACGTCACAGCGGATGTTACGTTGCTCTATAAATAAACCAGAAACAAAACAACAAGTGCGCTGCAGAGGTCCACGCACGTTTGTTTTGCCAGCCACGGCAGCGCGAGACACCGAAAACGGATACTTAAAGAGTTCATGAATGGAAAATTTACTTTTAAAAAGTTGCCAGATTGCTCCACTGACAAGACCAAAGTTACCTTTATGTTTTGCAGTCGTAAACTGAGCTATTATCATTGCACGTCGAGTCTGAAATACCACTTAATGGCCAAGCACACAGCTGATGTGAGTACTCCGCCCACTCGTCTCAGATAGACAGCTGTGGATCATTTCAAAGCGAAAAAAATGGATGACACAACGAAGAACAAATTTGCTGAAGCCATAGCTAAATGTATGGATACTGCATACAAGCCTGTCAACATTGTCCACAGCTCGACTCAAGCTGAAATCATTCGCATTGCATCTAACGACTCCACTACAGATTGACAGCGAGATCCTCCATTACAAGCTGTGTAGAGATTGTACGTAGCGGAGAAGGCTAAGGTACACCAAGCGGGAAAAGACACTGTTTCGGGAGAGAAATAAGAGACTAAGTTGATGAGCCTCTGGTGACTAAAGAGCAGGTAGCCCGTTGAGTACGATGTATGCCACTGACACGATTGTTACTTGTTTGGAACTATTTGGTGTGGAAAGTTACCGTGTTCCGTGTCCATATAAATAGAGCGGGTGGAGCTTCTCTGTACAGCGAGATCCTCCATTACAAGCTGTGTAGAGATTGTACGTAGCGGAGAAGGCTAAGGTACACCAAGCGGGAAAAGACACTGTTTCGGGAGAGAAATAAGAGACTAAGTTGATGAGCCTCTGGTGACTAAAGAGCAGGTAGCCCGTTGAGTACGATGTATGCCACTGACACGATTGTTACTTGTTTGGAACTATTTGGTGTGGAAAGTTACCGTGTTCCGTGTCCATATAAATAGAGCGGGTGGAGCTTCTCTGTGTTTGTCTGACAGTGACGGTGCGCAGAGGCGGTGACATGACAACGAAAATTTAGCGGTGCAGTGGTAGCAACCTAGCGAAAATAAAACGTCTCCAGTGTTGTCATCGAACCAAGTGTAGTCATCCGAAATGATGTCTACACAAAACAGTAGAGAGACTTCCGCGCAAGAAGGACCAACAGAATCAACATAGCCTGACTGCTGTGTTCAAAGCAAACTTGAGAAAAACGAAGTATGCAACCATGGCTTAAAAACACTACAGGCTGAGTACTAGTTTACCTTAGATGTGCACTTTATAATGTTATATTCCTCTGTTTTGATTCCATAAAAAGAGCTGTTAAAGCAGCTGTTGTGTGACAAAATATTTTTTTCACTGTTGTTGATGGACAGTAATATTGTGTGAGAGATTATGTGTGAATAACTGCTCCAAGTGAAAAATGTTAATGTAAAATTGAAAATCGAAATTGTTATTTCAGTAAATATTTGCATTTTGCACATAGAAAACTGATTCATGATTCCACGTTGATGAGAGCATTAAAATGGGGAAAAATAGGACAAAAAATATAAAAGGAAATTCAGAAACGACAGAAAATGCGTGAGTAATCACGATTAATTTTTCGTGAATTTGAGTGATGACAATTGCATTTTTAATTAGATTAAATATTTTAATCGTTTGACAGCTCTAATA